CATGTCACGAGCGGTGGAAGCCAAAGACAGCGGCCTCCCGCAAAGCAGTTAACACTCCCAACGAGAGGCCCGGAGCGGATACAAACAACGAATAGTTTCGCCATCCTGTAGCCTGATCTTCCTGCACCTTCGTCGCTGGGGGTACCTGTGTTTGCAGCCGCAGTGCCTACTCCTACGATTTTGAAGTCGACGTCGGCAACCTTCCGTCCCTGCTCTGGATCGAGCAGGGCTTCTCCATCTGTCGGAGGCCTGTGCCGGGAGCAACAGGCTCAAGTTATCCTGCCTCTCGCCCATCCATAAAGGGTTCTCTGAATCCTGTGAAGCGTGGGAGTGGGCGGATTTCCTCAACTGTGATTTTGGGCAGCTCCATGGTAAGAAATGTGACCGTTCCTGGTGCAAAAACAATGTCCTATCCCGGAGCTCGAGTAAATGACATTACTAAGCTGCTCCTGAATGTAGTACATCAGGACATGGCGATCGATTCTATCATAGTCCATGTGGGTTATAATGACATTATGAAGAGCAGCTCTGAACAGTTGAAACTGGATTTTAAAGAGCTGATTGACTCTCTACTAGACACTAATAAAAGACCCATCTTATCTGGCCCTGTGCCCTCTCTGAATCGTGGCATTGAACGCTTTAGCAGGATTCTCTCTCTTCACAACTGGCTACGTGATTATTGCAGCTCAATGGGTGTAACTTTTGTTGACAATTTCGCTACTTTTTGGAAATAAAACACTTCTTATAAGGAGGATGGGATCCACCCAAATCATTTGGGTTCCTGGATCCTTTCACAGTATAATAAGGCTGCATTGAGACAATGACTTATCAATGACCCAAGCCCAGCTCAGTTAATCCCTACCATTGTGACGCTAAGTTGTCATAATGCTTCAGCAAATGTACATTATACCAGGGGCGTTGGTAGACACAATGTAAGTAACCTAATTTATGTCCCTCTAACTGTCCTGAATGCCTCTGCTGCTCCTACAGCTATTGTATGCAGTAATCATGTGCCTATGAACCAGATTTATACTGTTAGCACCAAGGCGGTGTGCCCTAGTAGGAAGTCCACTGTGTGTAGCTAAACCTGCACTAACATAAATAACATGATAATATTTACTTCTGCTAAACTTCCCAGTAAAGCAAGGAAAACAAGTAAGCATCCCAGAAGAAAAGTGTTAAAAATAGCCCACGTTAACATATGTAGCTTAAGAAACAAGGTTCATGAAATCAAAAATGTTCTAGTAACAGACGACATTCATATTCTGACTATCTCTGAAACTCACTTAGATAATACCTTTGATGATACAGTGGTAGCAATACAAGGTTATAACATTTACAGAAAGTACAGAAATGCCTAAGGTGGAGGTGTTGCTGTTTATATTCAGAACCACATTCCTGTAAAGCTTAGAGAGGATGTCATGTTAAATACTGTTGAAGTAATATGGCTACAGGTTCATCTGCCTCACCTAAAGCCCATTCTGGTGGGAAGCTGCTATAGACCACCGAGTGCTAACAGTCAGTATCTGGATAACGTGTGAAATGCTTGATAATGAATGTGATATCAACAGAGAGGTATATTTTCTGGTTGATTTAAATATTGACTGGCTTTCATCAAGCTGCCCACTCAAGAAAAAGCTTCAAACTGTAACCAGTGCCTGCAACCTGGTTCAGGGTATCAGTCAACCTTCCAGGGTAGTTACAAACAGCACAGGAATGAAATCATCAACATGTATTGATCACATCTTTGCTAATGCTGCAGAAATTAGCTTGAAAGCAGTATCCAGATCCATCGGATGTAGTGATCACAATATAGTAGCCATATCTAGGAAAACCAAAGTTCCAAAGGCTGGGCTTAATATAGTTTATAAGAGATACAATAAGTTTTGTAGTGATTCCTATGTTGTTGATGTAAAGAATATTTGTTTGTCCGTGGTGTGTAATGAGGAGCAAACAGACACTGCACTTGACACATTTATGAAATTGCTTATTCCAGTTACTAATAAGCATGCACCCATTAAGAAAATGACTGTAAAAACTGTTAAATCCCAGTGGATTGATTAGGAATTTTAAAATGGTATGGTTGAGAGGGATGAGGCAAAAGGAATGGCAAATAAGTCTAGCTGCACAACCGATTGGCAAACGTATTGCAAATTGAGAAATGATGTGACTAAACTGAATAAAAAGAAGAAGAAACTACACTATGAAACAAAGATAAATGACATAAGGAGGAAAAAGGCAAACTCAGCTCCATCATTCATTGAATCAGATCATTCATCACAAAACTGACTTCAATGATTTTTTTCATTGGCAAGATTAGCAAATTTAGGCATGACATGCCAGCAACAAATGCTGACATTACACATCCAAGTATATCTGACCAAATTCTGAAAGACAAGCATTGTAATTTTGAATTCCGTAAAGTGAGTGTGGAAGAGGTGAACAAATGATTGTTGTCTATCAACAATGACAAGCCACCGGGGTCTGACAACTTGTATGGAAAATTACTGAGGATAATAGCGGACGATATTGCCACTCCTATTTGCCATATTTTCAATTTAAGCCTAATAGAAAGTGTGTGCCTCAGGCCTGGAGGGAAGCAAAAGTACAGTCAGGTCCATAAATATTTGGACATTGACCAAGTTATTATTATTTTAGTTGTCTACCACAGCATATTGGAGTTGAAATTAAAGAATGAACGGTGTAGGAATTACAGCACTTTTTATATGTGGTCCCCCCTGTTTTAAGGGACCAAAAGTAATTGGACAATTGGCTGCTCAGCTGTTCCATGGCCAGGTGTGTGTTATTCCCTCATTAGTTCATTTACAAGGAAGCAGATAAAAGGTCTAGAGTTGATTTCAAGTGTGGCATTTGCATTTGGAATCTGTTGCTGTTAACCCTCAATATGAAGTCTAAAGAGCTGTCCCTGCCAGTGAAGCAGGCTGAAAATCAAAACAAACCCATCAGAGAGATAGCAAAAACATTAGGTGTGGCCTAATCAACTATTTGGTACATTCTTAAAAAGAAAGAACGCAAAAAGTTACCTGTCTAACAGAACACAGAGGGTGTTCTTTAATGGAAGCCTCTACAACATAATCCAGGTAGAATCAGAATTTCCCCAGGGCAGCTGTCTAGGCCCCTTACTTTTTTCAATCTTTACTAATGACATGCCACTGGCCAGTGTGTCTATGTATGCGGATGACTCAACACTATACACGTCAGCTACTACAGCGACTGAAATGACTGCAACGCTTAACAAAGAGCTGAAGTTAGTTTCAGAGTGGGTGGTAAGGAATAAGTTAGTCCTAAATATTGATAAAAACGAAAAGCATTGTATTTGGGGCAAATCATTCACTGAACCCTAAACCTCAACTAAATTTTGTAAAAAATAATGTGGAAATTGAGCAAGTTTAGGTGACTAAATTGCTTGGAGTAACCCTGGATTGTAAACTGTCATGGTCAAAACATATTGATACAACAGTAGCTAAAATGGGGAGAAGTCTGTCCATAATAAAGCGCTGCTCTACCTTCTTAACAGCACTATCAACAAGGCAGGTCCTACAGGCTCTAGTTTTGTCGCACCTGGACTACTGTTAAGTCGTGTGGTCAGGTGCCACAAAAAGGGACATAGGAAAATTGCAAATGGCTCAGAATAGGGCAGCATGGCTGGCCCCTGGAGAGCTAACATTAATAATATGCATGTCAATCTCTCCTGGCTCAAAGAGGAATTGACATGTTGAATGCAATGAGCTGTCTGTTTGAACTACTGGCGCACAGCTCGGACACCCATGCATACCCCACAAGACATGCCACCAGAGGTCTCTTCACAGTCCCCAAGTACAGAACAGACTATGGGAGCCGCACAGTACTACATAGAGCCATGACTACATGGAACTCTATTCCACATCAAGTAAATGATGCAAGCAGTAAAAATAGATTTAAAAAACAGATAAAAATACACCTTATGGAACAGCGGGGACTGTGAAGCAACACAAACATAGGCACAGACACATGCATACACACACACGATAACATACGCACTATACACACACGTACACATGGATTTTGTATTGTAGATATGTGCTAGTGGTGGAGTAGGGGCCTGAGGGCACACAGTGTGTTGTGAAATCTGTGAATGTATTGTAATGTTTTTTAAATTGTATAACTGCTTTAATTTTGCTGGACCCCAGGAAGAGTAGCTGATGCAGATAATTAAACAGATAAACCGCAACATGACAGCAATTGTAGGAATGCGACTGTGTTTAATCTTTGTAGGCTAATACATTTTTTTTTTCATTAGAACAATCTCTGGGATTTCTTATAATTTGTTAGGTGTTGTTTACACTGTTTAATCTAACACCTGTTAGGCAGTGGCACACACACAGCGCTCAGTTTACCCACTTTCTCCTTCTTCTTCTTCTTAAGATTATTTGTATCGTTATTATTATTAAGTACAAGCTTTTTATTTTGAAAATGAACTAACAAATTAAATGTTCTGGCTAATTTGGCTATGGCCTGAGTATTATATTAATACAACAGAACAGAACACAACAAAAGAACACGTCAATAAAATAACAAATGGAGTCTTGAATAATTATATAAATGTTCTGGATATTATTAGCTATAGGCCGGCCAATGGCCTAACAGGTGCATGCATGTGTCACGTGAACAGAGCATAGCACATTTAGCGAATAGGGAATGTTTTTGCAGTCTCAAGAAATGAGGGATTTCGGTAACTTTTCAGTCAGAGAAACAAGTAAGAAACAAATGAATAACTAATTAGATAGCAGCTTCAGCACCCCGGATAGCGCAATGCACACGACAGCCTGTGCCTGCAGCTGACAGGGAGGAGAGAGAGATAAAGTGTGCCATTCACACAGGCACTGTAAAAAATATATATAAATACATGGCACGGCATGTCCCGGCCATTAAACAATTCTTGAAAACACAGGCCCCGAACCCGAAATTGAGAACTCTAGTGTGTATGTTTTTCTTCCCAGCTGGTCATTTGGGGTGCTAATGTGGGAGATCTTCACCCTGGGGGGTTCTCCGTACCCCGGCATCCCCGTAGAGGAGCTCTTCAAGCTGCTGAAAGAGGGCCATCGCATGGACAAGCCTGGCAACTGCACCAACGAGCTGTATGATTGTATTTTTATCTCACACACATACGCATGCACGCAGGCAGGCACACACACACACGCACACAAATGTGCACACACACACACATAAACATAAACATCAGATCCATGACCCTACACAGCTGGCCTGGGTCTGTATCAATGTCCTCATTCACAATGGGCCCTCTCCAGTCACACAGAAAACAGTGTCATGGCCTGCACCGTGAATGTAGGGCCTAATATTCTCACACTGTAATGGAAACAGTGAAGCCCACAGTGGAGACAGACAGACAGACCTAGGATAGGATTGGCATTGGCGTCCATCAGCCTTGAACGTTAGAGAGTACAGAGAAATAGAACCTGCATAGCTCGGTGTTTGGATTGTCTGGTTCATACCTGGACACCTAGGCTCAGAGAAATTAGTCTTAATCATCTCACCCACTTTGACAGTGTTTTAGAGAAGAGCAGCAGTCTGTTTAATGGGTGACAAGGCATGTACTTTGGAAATATATAATATAATACTTTTGTTAACCTCTCTCTCTCTCTCAGGTACATGATGATGAAAGACTGTTGGCATGCCATTTCCTCCCATCGGCCCACCTTCAAGCAGCTGGTGGAGGATCTAGACCGCATCCTCACCCTGGTCACCAATGAGGTGAGGGCACAAACCAGAGTCACACCTGTTCACACTAGGGCTGTGGCGGTCATGAAATTCTGTCAGCCGGTGATTGACATACAAATAATTGCCGGTCTGACGGTAATTGACCGTTAATTAACATATACACGTTTAGCATCTCCGGTTTCCACGCATAGCCTACAAGCCACTGATGTGGACCTTTGGAACATCTACATTTTTTAAAAAGTCTAATAAATCCATTTAATATAGCCTACACTATCACACACACACTTCATCAGTCTCTCATTCAGTCTGACAAGCATTTGATTTAGAATGGTCCATTATCATGCAGCTGTCGGAACAGGGGCAGGGTAAAAAAAAATACCTGTCATCCTATGCACTTGAATAGTGAATGGAGGACGCTTTTCCCGCGGTTAATTTTCCTACCTGCCAGGTAGGCTACTCCAGTTGTAAAGCGAAGCAATGTGCTTAATATTAGAAAAGTTGAGAAATAAATATAGTAGGCCTAGCCTATAGAAACCTGATGGGATCATCCTCTTTTTAATAGAGGCCATCAAAACTATTTTCTCACGCAATTGCTTAGCATAGCATATAGAAATGTTGCGCAACATGGGCTTATAGGAACACTTATTTCATTCCATGCATCAACCAGCTATGAGGAGCTGGCTCTCACTGCGCAACATGTGATCCTATTTTGCTCAAACTCTGAATGCCAGAGCTCTCATGAAGTGTTTGATTTGATTTTCTAATGCATTTGCATTGATGTCAGAGTGATTAGTGGGACAATAGAGTGCTGAGTACCGACCATTAGCGACTGGCCGTTAGCAGGTTTGGTAGGCTACTAATGACCATCGGCGGCATCAGAGAGCAGTTTTGGAGAAGTCTAGTTACCGTGACCGTCAAGTGGAATTTGACTGCTGTCATGACTCGTGACTGCCGGTGTGGCGGTAATGCGGTCACCGTAACAGCCCTAGTTCACACTCACCTACAATCTGAAGTCAGAGTAAGTGACTTACAGTGCCTTCGGAAAGTATTCAGACCCCTTGACCTTTTCCATATTTTGTTACGTTACAGCCTTATTCTAAAATTGATTAAATAAAAACAAATCCTCAGCAATCTACACACAATACCCCATAATGATTAAGCAAAAACAGGTTTTTAGAAATGTTTGCACATTTATAAAAAATCTAAACCAGAAATACCTTATTTACATAAGTATTCAGACCCTTTGCTATGAGACTCAAACTTGCATGTCAGAGAAAAAAACAAGCCATGAGGTCAAAGGAATTCAAATCAAATTTTCTTTGTCACATGCGCCGAATACAACAGGTGTAGACCTTACAGTGAAATGCTTACTTACAAGCCCTTAACCAACAATGCAGTTTTAAGAACGAATACCAAAAAAAAATCACAAAAAAGACAATATAAAATAATAAGAAATAAAAGTAACAAATAATTAAAGAGCAGCAGTAAAAATAGCAATAGCGAGGCTATATACAAGTTGTACCGGTACCGAGTCAATGTGCAGGGGCACCAGTTAGTCGAGGTAATTGAGGTAATATGTACATGTAGGTAGAGTTATTAAAGTGACTATGCATAGATAATAAACAGAGAGTAGCAGCAGCATAAAATAGGGGGTGGGGGCAATGCAAATAGTCTGGGTAGCCATTTGATTAGATGTTCAGGAGTCTTATGGCTTGGGGGTAGAAGCTGTTTAGAAGCCACTTGGACCTAGACTTGGCGCTCCGGTACCGCTTGCCATGCGGTAACAGAGAGAACAGTCTATGACTAGAGTGGCTGGAGTCTTTGGCAATTTCTAGGGCCTTCCTCTGACACCGCCTGGTATAGAGGTCCTGGATGGCAGGAAGCTTGGCCCCAGTCATGTACTGGGCCATACGCACTACCCTCTGTAGTGCCTTGTGGTCAGAGGCCGAGCAGTTGCCATACCAGGCAGTGATGCAACCAGTCAGGATGCTCTCGATGGTGCAGCTGTAGAACCTTTTGAGGATCTGAGGACCTATGCCAAATCTTTTCAGTCTTCTTAGGTGGAATAGGTTTTGTCGTTCCCTCTTCACGACTGTCTTGGTGTGCTTGGACCATGTTAGTTTGTTGGTGATGTGGACACCAAAGAACTTGAAGCTCTCAACCTGCTGCACTACAGCCCCGTCGATGAAAATGGGGACGTGCTCGGTCCTCTACTTTTTCCTGTAGTCTACAATCATCTCCTTTATCTTGATCACGTTGAGGGAGAGGTTGTGTCCTGGCACCACACGGCCAGGTCTCTGACCTCCTCCCTATAGGCTGTCTCGTCGTTGTCGGTGATCAGGCCTACCACTGTTGTGTCGTCGGCAAACTTAATGATGGTGTTGGAGTCGTGCCTGGCCATGCAGTCATGAGTGAACAGGGAGTACAGGAGGGGACTGAGCACGCACCCCTAAGGGGCCCCCGTGTTGAGGATCAGCGTGGCGGATGTGTTGTTACCTACCGTTACCACTTGGGGGCGGCCCGTCAGGAAGTCCAGGATCCAGTTTCAGAGGGAGGTGTTTAGTTCCAGGGTCCTTAGCTTAGTGATGAGCTTTGAGGGCACTATGGTGTTGAACGCTGAGCTGTAGTCAATGAATAGCATTCTCACATAGGTGTTCCCTTTGTCCAGGTGTGAAAGGGCAGTGTGGAGCGCAATAGAGATTGCATCATCTGTGGATCTGTTGGGGCGGTATGCAAATTGGAGTGGGTCTAGGGTTTCTGGGATAATGTGAGCCATGACCAGCCTTTCAAAACACTTCATGGCTACAGACGTTAGTGCTACAGGGCAGTAGTCATTTAGGCAGGTTACCTTAGTGTTATTGGGCACAGGCACTATGGTGGTCTGATTGAAACATGTTGGTATTACAGACTCAGACAGGGAGAGGTTGAAAATTGTCTTTAGAGCTCTGAGACAGGATTGTGTCGAGGCACAGATCTGCGGAAGGGTACCAAAGAATTTCTGCAGCATTGTAGGTCCCCAAGAACACAGTGGCTTCCATCATGGAAGAAGTTAGGAACCACCAAGACTCTTCCTAAAGCTGGCCACCCGGCCAAACTGAGCAATCGGGGGAGAAGGGCCTTGGTCAGGGAGGTGACCAAGAACCCGATGGTCACTCTGACAGAGCTCTAGAGTTCCTCTGTGGTGATGGGAAACCTTCCAGAAGGACAACCATCTCTGCAGCACTCCACCAATCAGGCCTTTATGGTAGAGTGGCCAGACGGAAGCCACTCCTCAGTAAAAGGCACATGACAGCCCGCTTGGAGTTTGCCAAAAGGCACCTAAAGACTCTCAGACCATGAGAAACAAGATTCTCTGGTCTGATGAAACTAAGAATGAACTCTTTGACCTGAATGCCAAGCGTCACGTCTGGAGGAAACCTGGCACCATCCCTAAACTCCCCAAATACAGGTGTGCCAAGCTTGTAGTGTCATACCCAAGAAGACTCGATGATGTAATCACTGCCAAATGTTTTTCAACAAAGTACTGAGTAAAGGGTCTGAATACTTATGTAAATGTGTTATTTCAGTTTTTTATTTTTAATAAATTAGCAAAAATTCTAAAAACCAGTTTTTGCTTTGTCATTATGGGCTATTATGTGGAGATTGATGAGGGGGGAAAAAAACAATTTAATCAATTTTAGAATAAGGCTGTAATGTAACAAAATGTGGAAAAAGTCAAGGGGTCTGAATACTTTCCAATTTTGGGGTCAATTCCCTTTAGTAGTAAACTGAAATTCCAACCAAAAATAATTCCCAGTTGATTAGCATTGAGGAAAAAATAGAATTGGAATTTCAGTTTACCTCCTGAATTGACTGAATTTAAATGGCGACCCCAAGTCTGCTGACCTCGTATCCGTGGAAGTGCTCGGTCACTGAGAAGTATGACATAAAAGCATGTCTCGCTTCTCCAAAAGCTTGGAAAAAGGTAAACATGATACAGGCTCACGGACACTCCAATTGGGGGCAAGCAAAGTTGACAATAATGTTCAAAAAGCATTAGAAGGAACCTGCATTGGCTGACACATGACCTTTACAGTGACCAGAAAATGGCAGGCCCCAGAGCTGTGGCCATGGCCCACTGATGTTGCCCAATCATAGAGAGCTACTCCAAGCTATTCCTCGCCTCGGAATAATGGCTTGTGTTTCTTTCCGTTCTGCTCCTGTCATGTGTGATATCCGTGCACAGGCCTGAGGAGAGGCTGTGGATGGAAATCTGTCAGGGCTCATCTGGCCTCAGACTGGGACTCCATAGATAATGCCAAAAGCCCCAACTTCAAGGTTTCAGAGTTTGAACTTTTGAAATGTAATAAAGCGCCCCTTTTTCCCTTCTCCAAACCACTGGCATATGTGGAGCTCTTTAGTAATGTGAGCTGCCTTGTGTTGAGCTGAGAAAATGGAAGCCAGCACTCCTTTTAAGAAGAACGCTCAAACCCCAAGAACGCTTCTAAGGAGAGAGGAGGGTGCAGGGATAAATAAAAAAGGAGATTAAAAAAACGCTAAACACTGGTTCAAGTTGAAAAAGCCCCAATATTAATACAAAATATATTTGGGTGAGCACTGAAGGTTGCCAGACTATGTTCAGCCACGTTCCAATTTCAGATGTCAGGTTTGTTTGGACTGTGCTGGGTAGTGACATTAAGCGGAGCGGTATGGATGTAGCCCAGGGTTGGGTGCCCCTCTCTTTTAGTTTGAACAGTCTCTCTCTCTCTCCCTCTGGGTCCCCCCCCCCCCCCCCCTCTCGTTTGAACGCTCTCTCTCTGGTCTCTTTCTCTCTCTCCCTCTCTCTGGTCTCTCTCTCTCTCTGGTTTCTCTTTCTCTCTGGGCTCGCCACCCTCTACCTCTTTCTCTCCCCCCTTTCTCTCTGGTATCTCTTTTTCTCTCTCTCACTGGTCCCCCCACCCTCGCTCTCTCTCTCCCTCCCTCCCTCCCTCTCTCTCTTGTTCTCTCTTGCTCTCTTGTTCTTTCTCTCTCTCTGTGTGCTCTCCCTTGCCCGCCCAGACACATTGAACCACTTTATACTGAGACTAACAGCAACCAGGTCAGCATTGGTCTATGTGAACCGTGCTGGAAAGTTCCCCTCGCTCCAGCACGCACCATTTATTAAGTATTATTCGTACAAATATTTTTATACGGATCCGATTTAAGATTATTTTCTCTCTTGGCGCCGCCAACATTTTTCATAAATCTGTCAAGCGTGATTTAGGAATAGTTTATAGTTTACATAAATAAATTAATGAAGATGATACTCCATATGTCCATCACTGTCCTCCTGAAATGCCTGTCTCTATTTTGGTATTTTCCATCTCTCTTGCTCTTTTCTCTTACTCTCTATCTCTCCTCTCTAAACCTGTGAGTGTTATAGTTGTCTCACCCCCTTCTTCCCTCTTACCCTGTCTATGTTTAGGAGTATCTGGACCTGTGTGCCCCAGCGGAGCAGTATTCTCCCAGCTTCCAGGACACACGCAGTTCCTGTTCCTCCGGTGATGACTCCGTGTTCTCCCATGACCCCTTACCAGAGGAGCCCTGCCTCCCAAAGTACCAGCACATCAATGGGGGCGTCAAAACATGAGGCCTCCCCTCCCCTCCTCAATCCCCCCATCCAGCCTGACCTGCCCCTCACCCTTACAACCCCCCCCCCCCACAAAGAGACACTTCCATAAAGAGAAACTGAGATATACCACCACAACCAACCCCCTCAAACCACAAACCTCCTGCCCCCCCAACCCCCCTCTGGCTCCCAATGGACTAATGGACCGGATGGGACTGGGCTGGTGGCAGCGCTGCTGTTAGAACACATACACCCACACTCACCCACGTTCATACACATGTTCAAGGTCTTAAGGAGACCTTGCCGTTTTTTTTTTTTTTGTTTGGTTGTTTTCCACAAGAGTTTGGAATTTACAATTTGTGCATTCCATGATTCCATTCCGTTGGCTGGCATTCTAAGACTTTAGTTTGTTCCCAGAGGGAAAATATGGACCATAATGAACTGAAAAAACAAGGGACTCAAAAAGAGGACAGCAAAATAGGAAGGGACTGAAAGGAAGCATCAACTAACAAAAACAGATGAATAGGAGAAGAGCGCATACAGACATTGCCTCTTGTTTATATTTTGTAATATTGTCTTGTTTCTTTTTACCTTCTCTTGATAATCCCACACACATATTATTATTATGGCGAAATATAATGCATAAATATAGTGCTGAGTAAATTTGTAAATATATTCAAATATGTATAAATATATAAATAGTATATATTTACAGTGAATTATTTTTTGTATGGACTCCAGAATAATTCCCCCCTCTCCTCTCCCGTCCTCCCTCTTTGGGTTTGAGACAGGTGTGTCATCACCCAGGTTATGTTTCTGTTCTCTTGTGTTCTTTTAAACACACAAATACAAGCATGCACACGCACCCACACACACAAACACCTGTTTCGCTCTCACTCAATGACACGGTGGAGTATTGGCTTTCAGGGAAAGAGATAGCATGTTAATTTATTTACTTTTTTTATGAAATCAAAAAGTTGAAAAAAGAACAAAAATAGTAAGAAAGAATTAATGCTATTAATGATGCTGATAACAAAGAATAAATAATCCATTATTTTGATTATCGTCATTTTAAATGATCTTTCAGAGGTAACAGAAATGTAGTGGGTGTTTAAAAGATCCTGGTTTCGTACATTTTAGATATAAATGTGAATATTAAGTTACAATTTAAATACTGTACATTTTATAGTCTGCTAATCCCTTTCTTATGTAGATGATGCAGTTTCTATCCCGTCATTTTACTCTTTCTTAGGTTTGCATTTGAAATGAGATTTCTGGATATTTACAGTGCATTCAGAAAGTATTCAGACCTCTTCACTTTTTCCACATTTTGTTACGTTACAGCCTTATTCTAAATGGATTAAATAAAACATTTTCCTCATCAGTCTACACACAATACCCCATAATGACGAAGTGAAAACAGGTTTTTGGACATTTTTGCAAATGTATTAAAAATAAAAAACAGAAATACCTTATTGACATAAGTATTCAGACCCTTTGCTATGAGACTTGAAATTGAGCTCAGGTGCATCCTGTTTCCATTGATCATCCTTGAGATGTTTCTACAACTTGATTGGAGTCCACCTGTGGTAAATGTAATTGATTGGACATGATTTGGAAAGGCACACACCTGTCTATATAAGGTCCCACAGTTGACAGTGCATGTCAGAGCAAAAACCAAGCCATGAGTTGAAGGAATTGTCCGTAGAGCTCCGAGATAGCATTTTGTCGAGATCTGGGGAAGGGTACCAAAAACATTTGTGCAGCATTGAAGGTCCCCAAGAACACAGTGGCCTCCTTCATTCTTAAATGGAAGAAGTTTGGAACCACCAAGACTCTTCCTAGAGCTGGCCACCCGGCCAAACTGAGCAATCGGGGGAGAAGGGCCTTGGTCAGGGAGGTGACCAAGAACCCGATTGTCCCTCTGACAGAGCTCCAGAGTTCCTCTGTGGAGAACGTATGATCAGAAGGACAACCATCTCTGCAGCACTCCACCAATCAGGCCTTTATGGTAGAGTGGCCAGACAGAAGCCACTCCTCAGTAAAAGGCACATGACAGCCCGCTTGGAGTTTGCCAAAAGGCACCTAAAGGACTCTCAGACCATGAGAAACAAGATTATCTGGTCTGATGAAACCAAGATTGAACTCTTTGGCCTGAATGCTAAGCATCACGTCTGGAGGAAACCTGCCACCTTCCTACGGTGAAGCACATACAGTGGGGAGAACAAGTATTTGATACACTGCCGATTTTGCAGGTTTTCCTACTTACAAAGCATGTAGAGGTCTGTAATTTTTATCATAGGTACACTTCAACTGTGAGAGACGACAAAAATCCAGAAAATCACATTGTATGATTTTTAAGTAATTAGTTTGCATTTTATTGCATGACATAAATATTTGATACATCAGAAAAGCAGAACTTAATATTTGGTACAGAAACCTTTGTTTGCAATTACAGAGATCATACGTTTCCTGTAGGTCTTGACCAGGTTTGCACACACTGCAGCAGGGATTTTGGCCCACTCCTCCATACAGACCTTCTCCAGATCCTTCAGGTTTCGGGACTGTCGCTGGGCAATACAGACTTTCAGCTCCCTCCAAAGATTTTATATTGGGTTCAGGTCTGGAGACTGGCTAGGCCACTCCAGGACCTTGAGATGCTTCTTACGAAGCCACTCCTTAGTTGCCCTGGCTGTGTGTTTCGGGTCGTTGTCATGCTGGAAGACCCAGCCACGACCCATCTTCAATGCTCTTACTGAGGGAAGGAGGTTGTTGACCAAAATCTTGCGATACATGGCCCCATCCATCCTCCCCTCAATACGGTGCAGTCATCCTGTCCCATTTGCAGAAAAGCATCCCCAAAGAATGATGTTTCCACCTCCATGCTTCACGGTTGGGATGGTGTTCTTGGGGTTGTACTCATCCTTCTTCTTCCTCCAAACACGGCGAGTGGAGTTTACACCAAAAAGCTATATTTTTGTCTCATCAGACCACATGACCTTCTCCCATTCCTCCTCTGGATCATCCAGATGGTCATTGGCAAACTTCAGACGGGCCTGGACATGCGCTGGCTTGAGCAGGGGGACCTTGCGTGCGCTGCAGGATTTTAATCCATGACGGCGTAGTGTGTTACTAATGGTTTTCTTTGAGACTGTGGTCCCAGCTCTCTTCAGGTAATTGACCAGGTCCTGCCGTGTAGTTCTGGGCTGATCCCTCACCTTCCTCATGATCATTGATGCCCCACGAGGTGAGATCTTGCATGGAGCCCCAGACCGAGGGTGATTGACCTTCATCTTGAACTTCTTCCATTTTCTAATAATTGTGCCAACAGTTGTTGCCTTCTCACCAAGCTGCTTGCCTATTGTCCTGTATCCCATCCCAGCCTTGTGCAGGTCTACAATTGTATCCCTGATGTCCTTACACAGCTCTCTGGTCTTTGCCATTGTGGAGAGGTTGGAGTCTGTTTGATTGAGTGTGTGGACAGGTGTCTTTTATACAGGTAACGAGTTCAAACAGGTGCAGTTAATACAGGTAATGAGTGGAGAACAGGAGGGCTTCTTAAAGAAAAACTAACAGTTCTGTGAGAGCCGGAATTCTTATGGTTGGTAGGTGATCAAATACTTATGTCATGCAATAAAATGCAAATTAATTACTTAAAAATCATACAATGTTATTTTCTGGATTTTTGTTTTAGATTCCGTCTCTCACAGTTGAAGTGTACCTATGATAAAAATTACAGACCTCTACATGCTTTGCAAGTAGGAAAACCTGCAAAATCGGCAGTGTATCAAATACTTGTTCTCCCCACTGTACACCCACACCCACACTGGGGTTGTTTTTCAGCGGCAGGGACTGGGAGACTAGTCAGGATCGGGGGAAAGATGAACGGAGCAAAGTACAGAGAGATCCTTGATGAAAACCTGCTCCAGAGTGCTCAGGACCTCAGACTAGGGCGAAGGTTTTCAATGACCCTAAGTACACAGCCAATACAATGCAGGAGTGACTTCGGGACAAGTCTCTGAATGTCCTTGAGTGGCCCAGTCAGAGCCCGGACTTGAACCCGATCTAACATCTCTGGAGAGACCTGAAAATAGCTGTGCAGCGACGCTCCCCAACCAACCTGACAGAGCTTGAGAGGATCTGCAGAGAACAATGGGAGAAACTCCCAAAATACAGGTGTGCCAAGCTTGTGGCGTCATACCAAAGAAGAAAAGGCTGTAATCGCTGCTAAAGATGCTTCAACAAAGTACTGAGTAAAGGGTCTGAATACTTATGTAAATGTCATATTTCCGTTTTATTTTATTTTATACATTTGCAAAAAATTTAAAAACTTGTTTTTGCTTTGTCATTATGGGGTATTGTGTGTACATTGCTGAGGGGGAAAAAACGATTGAATCAATTTTAAAATAAGGCTGTAACGTAATAAAATGTGGAAAGTGAAGGGGTCTAAATACTTTCTGAATGCCCTGTATATGATTGAAAACTACCCACTAGCAATGTGTTACTTCATTTAGACTTAAAGATAGACTCCAAATTCACACCAGAGGATTCAAAGCTGAAAAACAAAAGTATTAAATCATTCGTGTTTTCTTCTTCTTTAAGATGTTTTTTGCAAGTGTTCTTGTCACATTTGAAAAATAAAAGATGGAAAAACAAGTGTCTGTGTTGACTATTCACTCAAAAATGACTGGTTTCTGGTTTCTGGTATCTTTTCATGTCCTTGAGAGAGGTCTGAGACTGGCTATATTAGAATATCAGTCAATTATCCGTTTTCTGTTGGTGTTGGCTGATTAGTGGTGTTGGCTGATTAGGTAATCAGTGTTCATTTATCATCAATTGTGATTGATAAAGGCTGTGTTCATAGTAGTTAATGGTGCTTTATTCATATAAGCAAAGCAACATTAATAGCAACATACAGCAAGACAATGGCATTTCATAAAGAATACATTAGAGTTGATGAAAGTATAGCCAAATTAATTGTACCAGATGATAGCATGGCTTAGAGCTTGAATTAAAAT